GCGGCAGCGTGGCGTAGCGCGGGGGCAGCATCACACCCACCGGCACGCGGCCCAGCTGTACATGCAACATAATAAAACATGTTTAACGCTAAGGAAACACTAATCAAAGGATAGTCCGCTAACTATTCAGATATCATACATGACTTAAGCTGATGGGTATTTTCTGTCAAAACTTCACTGTGTTATAAGGAGTTAGAAGTAAAAGTTACATTTATTCAATGGCTTAGATATTGTTTTGATAAAAGAAAGTGTTTAATTTATTTACTTAAATGATTATGTACCCACATGAAGTCTACTCTAAATATTTGGAGCGTCTAGTTCTTGCTTTGGCCATGTCTTGTGAGAGAATCTCGTGCGCCTTGATCTGAATTGATATACCAGTGCTGGCATCCTATATTGAGCAATCCTCACCACTGATACTTAGTAGTACTTTAGTATAGTTTTTTAATGAACGCAGCAACAAAAATATAGTACAAATTCTGTGTATTTCCTGTCATGTTACAGAAATAAAGCTAGATTAAATTAATATTTTGCTCTTGATGTAGATTCGATAGAGTTCTTCATTTATTACAATTGACCCTAATTTGTAGAAGTTTACCGGTTTCCCACAGACCGACAAGCATGCGTTAGCTCTGCGCGTTTAGTTAATTGTGCAAACTATTTACGAGTATAACCAGTTATTTTGATTGCCGTAGAGTTGGATAAATTGACTTGATGGTAAATATAATTGAAGGTCGAGTTGCCAAATGACCAGTTCTAAAACAGTAAATAAGTAAAAAACTTCAAATTGCTTAAACTTATCTACAAACGGGCCCGAAAAAAAATAAACTTAGACAATAGTTTATCAAAGGTATATAGATGACTTCAATTCTAAAAATACTTTATTCTAAACATTGCAAATGTTTTAGTTATAGAAATATTCAGTTGACTGCCTTGACGGGCGCGCCCTGTGCGGTGCGTCGCGACCTCCGCTCCTACCTTGTCATCGCCTGTGATGAATAATCTACACAACTAAAGACTGATTCACATTAAAACAATATTATAAAGTGAATTTTACACGAAAATCATGCCATAATACCATAGAATATTGGTTTTTAATTTGTGTTTTTTGAGCTTTTTTGACCGTATAGTGCGACATCCGGTTTAGTTAATTTCGTATGTGCAGTGAATTGACACGAGTCGTGCAAGTGTTTCGTGTCGACGCGTCCCGCTTGCTAAGTGAGTTTAGACGCGCTAAGTTAGGCCTCAGGCACTGTGAAAGCGGCGACGGCGGAGTTGAACTTTTTAGTACAAGTAAATTAACTGCTATGAATTACTTCTATGTAAGTGAGTAACTGTTTTATGTGAATAAGTCTTTAGTTATTGATATTACGTTGTTATTAAATAATGCAAATTCTAAGATGGAAGTAATAATTTGTGAATGTAATATCTGTATTTAAGTTTATTTTATCGGACCTTCAATACATATGTTTGGCGAGAGTCTCTTAAGGTCCAAATTCTTCGCTCTTAGCCAGTTAACGGACATGACCATCGGAGTGGTATGGGTTGTACCATAGGTTGATCTACGCAACCTATTTGAGCTATCTTTGGTAAGAAGCATTAGAAAGCATTTAGCTTTAAGTATCAGTATTGGTTATGTGAAGAGGTAACTTAGCCAGCAATAAGTTATGCCCGCAGCAACGCGACCTAGTCTCCTGCGCCTGCGCCAGACCTGTCTCTGACCTTGTGTGCTCCTCACTTGCGATTTCGAGTTTTCTCACGCGGAAACACACTTACATACTTATTTTCCTCAATATTGTGTAAAATATCATATACAGAGCATTATATTCTATAACGCGTAAATATAACAGGAACAAACTAACTACGACTTAGTACACAATCAGAATTGCCGGCCATCTGTAAGAACGTAATCATAACTCTTAGTTTCTTTCTATATAAATCATCCAATTTGAAATTATCTTAGGTTCAATATAAAAAGTTAAAATCTTTATCTTTTATTATATTTAAGCGCCAATAGCCTAATGGTTTGGGGTAGGGACTACCGATCTTGCGGTCGAGGGTTCAAATCCCGCCATTCGACTATTCTCGTGAACCATATCCTAGCTCAAGACTAGAGCTTAGTTGGATTGGTTAAAGGAAATATTATTATAGTAAATGTCCATACGAAAATTATAAAGATTTGTATTTTTGTATGTATTGAAATAACTCAAAAACTACTAGGCCGATTTTAATAATTCTTTCACAATTAGAAAGGTAATTTATCTGTCAGTAACATAGGCTAGGTAAATTTTTTTACTATTTCTTAATTTAATGCGGTCGAAGTCGCGAGCAACAGCTAGTGTTTAATAATTACGACTTATAATCGCGAGATAGGAAAGGGATATCCAGCGGATAAAACGCATTTAAATCCACACCAGGTGGCGCTGGCACAAGTAATTTTGTGCGAATTTAATTTTGACGGGATGCAGTAATTTTTGGGGAATACCAAAAGCAAGTATTTGAAGAATTAATATTGTTTGGATTTACGTAACCGACACAAATGTTAGAAGTATGTTTTTGTACGTATGCACTTTCATATAGTTATGTATTGTCGGTATGCTAATGCATTATTATTTAAAGATACGAGTTTTTCTTGTAAATAACAAGTGTGTCAAAGGTAAATGAATTCAATTTCTTAAATGTATTTAATATTATCTTATGTAAATAGATCTTGGTGCAAGATGAAAAGGTCATATTAATAGGTAAAAGTGTTTTTTTATTAGTTTTTGTATCTTTATACGATTAGTGGTAAAACTTTTAATGCATAATGTAATAAATATGTAATTTAGAATATCTGTTATCTAAGCAACAAGATGTAAGGGTGGTGGGGGGTTGAGAAGAAAGTCCGGCGACCGGAAGTGACGTAAGGAGCCGGCACCACGTGTGTCCGATACTTCCGTTTGCGGTTGGCACTTTCAAATTCTACATGTGGCCGAGTTAGTGTTATGTAACTGAAATTCATGGAGATTAACTATTTAGATTAAATTAGTGATACAATGCGGAAAATATTATCATATTGACAGTTCATACAGCGTTCGAAAAGATTAAATAACCTAAAAATTAAGACTATTGAGGCTGCATCTGCGATATCTGGGCTATAAACTAATTGCATAACTTCTTAGAAATGTTTGCGGAACTCGAATCGGTTCCGATTCATCAATTGTCTGGTTATTGTACGAAAAAACTCAAACATCTCGAAGACATCCAAAGCAATGAACTGAAATGTTGCGAATTTTTATTACATTTCGTACATTTAAATACTGATGCGACCGTTACTATTGGCTTTTTATTTAAAATTTCATCTCTGTACGTGCCGTTATAGTTATATTGAAAAAGAACTGTTATTGTTCTGTCAAATACTGTAGAATACTGAAACAAACACTAAAAACTTCGCTTCTTAATTCCCGCTTACAATTTGTCGGTCGTCAATGTTAATGGAATTTGGAGTTTGAGCATTTAAGATGGTGGTACATATTTTAAAATCGTTTCAGTAATCTGCCGTAAACCATATAAAGTCGAGCAAAGGACAGCCGATTATAGGTTTAAGGGTAACTATTTTGTAACCTATTTTACAATTTTTTAGTATCAAAAGTTGAGGCGGCTTTAGAGATATCGATAACTGATACAAGAATTACTGTTTCGATATAGTAAAACAGCAATACAGTTACGTACAAGGTGTAAAATCATCGTCAATAATGAAGTTTATTAGACCGTTATAACGCTGTTATGACGAGAGGCAATGCTTCAATAAAGATATTTCCACGTAGCCAGCATCACTATACACCGACGAATATAACCTGAATTCGTGTAAACTAGAAAATATATGGCAACACATTGTTTTTACTGTCAGACAATATATTTTATTTAAGGTTTTATTGACTTTTCAGTAGTAAATAGTGATAGTAATTTTACCATAAAGTGTAAGGAAATTTAAGCAAATGGCAACATTAAGTCCCGTTTCTTGTAAACGACATTTCAATAGGCATTTTTTGTGTACTATAAACCATGTTAATGTCCAATGTCACCGCAGCCATCGATTTTGTCTCAATTCCAACGGCCTATTGAATATTGTTACCACTTTCTCTATTCTCTCGCAGTTATTTTAGGATTGTCTTCTAGAGAAAGTTATCATATTTCAAGAAAATATGCGAACATGACCTACTACCGGTAATTTATGGATGAAGAACAAATATTTTTAATATTAAATTTGATTAGAATAAAATCTTTGTTGAGGTAAAAATGCTTTAAAAAATAATTATTATCGTAACCCAATTACTACATTTATTTACTTATCATTTAAATAAATTAAAACAGAAATGTCAATATTTAAATCAACAAAATAAGTTGTTACTTAATTGTGCATTCCATTCTCTGTAGACGATGAGGTCTAAGGTTATGTAGTTATTTAATGTATAAAAAACTAGGAACAGTAACTTGTTTGTAAGATAATGTATACTAAAGTCGACATTCATACGTTTAAAACAACTCTATCAAAACGGGTTTGCAGAACAATCTCGCACAGGTGTAGTTTTTTATTTGGGGTTCCGTAGCTAGAATGTAGATTTACCTACTAAGAAAAGTATACGTTTTCATTTTACTAAACAATGTTGCCAGTTTTCAATAACACATTACATCATTCTTTATACTATAAATACGAGTTCGGATGGGTGTTTGTTACTAACTCTTTTACATTAGAATACATAGACTACATTCTATATTTGTTTCAAAATTCCGCACGAACGAAGTCGCGTGCAACAGCTAGTATGTTATACTATAACAAACAGTACACAATAAAATTGAGTAATAATAAAAGTCAATCAATAATGTTACAAAATAACGACATTAACACACCCTAATGTGCGTAATGGAGTCGCGCAACGAGCGAGGAATGCCAATGCCGACCGCCGACTGTTGCCGACTGTTGCCGACTGTTGCTACAAGTCCAACCAATTTCGTAGATTTAACAACTACATGCGATAAACATACACATGTAAGTGTAGAAAAAAATCTGTGTTTTTAGTCATAATTATGATTAAAATAAGTCATCTTAACATATCAGAATATAAAAAATCATTCCAAAAACGCATAAAGTTTTGAATCCATTGATGCAAAGTACAGTAAGAGCTCAATTTACCTGCAAAGGCGGGGCTCTAATGCCTATTAAACAAAACGATATAATTACAATAGTAACTAGTTAATTAATTTCGGCACATGTGTTACAAGTCTGTTAGTAGAGCGTTACATTTGAACCCTGGAATGTTGCTCAAATGCACCCGCAACAAGTTGTGCGGTGTGGACGTGATGAAATACCTGTAGCCTGCGGTCGGTAGAGGTCGCATGTG